AGGATAAAAGTTGACTATTTTGGAAACAAGATTTGCTAAGAGAACGAAAATTATGCTTCATAATCATAAGTTAGCATCGCTATAAGTGATGCAAGCAATGTAAACAATATGAAAAACAAGGCTGTTACTGTTAATAACTCAAACAATGATAGTAATGCAAACACATGTTCACTTGAAACTCAGTCGAAGGTACTATCATGTAAGCCATATGGGTTACCTTGACACTGTAAATTACTATATTAACAAAGATGTAAATTACATTCATCTGCATAAAAGCTACGAACAAGTAAATAACATAAAAATAACAGAAATATAAACCAAAAACATACGCAAATAAGTCATCAAAGTTGATAGGTGGAAGATGTTTGGGGCCTCTATTTGCAGTTGGAAACAAACAAAAAAGAGCACAACCCAGAAGAGCTGCAATCAATTCCTGAAAAACAGAGAAAACCTCATACTTAGAGATTGTGACTTCATGCAGCATACTGAATCAATAAACAAAAGCTTATTTTACTGTAAACAAAGAAGAACTATTATGCTTGACAAAGACATGGTATCACAACTTATACTATGACAATATTGTTTACTTCTCTAGTTGCGCCATCTCTTACATTATCCATAATTTTTTAATTCAACACCCATGTAGTACACTGGGATTGTACTAGTATACCTAAATATGGAAATAGGTTTCTTTACGATCTGATCGTGGAAAAAAATATTTGTAGAAGGAAAATCAGAGATATTCAAAAATATTTGTCTTCTCCTGCAAGAAGGAAAGATATACTAAACTCTGCTTTTTTAAGATAAACTAAACTCGACGAGTGCGGTGTTGCAATGATCAATTGAAATCCCAGAGAATCATAATGACAGCGAAAATATAAGACAAAGTTAAATTATAAAGAAAAAACACAAAAATACATACATATTAAAATAGTTTTCTTCTGAAAATGCACAGGGTTTTATAAAACTTCATCCAATGCCATCTTAGACACCAGAAGTCGGACATCAGGCTCAGCTACAATATTGCATTCAGACTTGAATTAGTAATCCAGATGCCAACCATGCAACAGAACCCAGACAAAATACAGAAAGCTGAAACAACTCTTGGCAATTTCTTCAACTAGGAAGTCTGAGTTTTAGCAGAAATCAATCACAAACAACAATCTGCAAATACTTCAATAGTGCAATTGCTTTCCCAGTTTTATTTGCAAGTCTAAGCTTGTTTCTTACCCCCTAGCTAGTAATTTTTTTTTCATTTTTATTTATACCATGAGCAAAGAACTGCTTACAAACATAATCTGATAAGATCAATCACTTAAAGCACATATGGTATCGCCACTCCTCTGGAGGTAGGGATACATGTATAGCACATCCATATACTTTATGAGGAAGAGAATGTCCTGATTTACAAATTTTGAGGAATAAATCTATAAATACCAACACGAATACAACTATTACAATCTCCATAGAAATGAGAACCTCGGTTCCCATAGAGAATATATTAAAGTAATATTTCAAAGCACAACTTACGGCCCATGGTAAACACACGTTGAATTAAATGCAAATAACATAATAAGCAGCTCACCTTTTCATACATTGCAAGGACTTCAAGCCAAAATACTAACTGATAGCATATCTCATAATTCAAATATTCCGGATTTATCAAAAAATAAATGAAAAACAGAGATAGAGAGAGTAGGTGCACTGAACATGTGTATAAAACTTGTACAACGAACTTAAGAGAAATATATTATTATCTACAATTCAGAAAAAGATAAATATGTGATAATGATTGATACACCCACAAACAAACACAAACAAAAAACAACAAAACCTTACCTGACTAAGAAAGACAATGCCTGACTGCTGTGATCGCAATAATCTAAGACCGGTTGCTGTCCCGTTGGAAGCACCTACATTCTGATAATGGTAATCTAACAATGCTGGTAACCTCAACAGTAAATCAGCAAGTTGTGGAACCACTTGTTGAAACCACTTCTGAGCCTCGTCCTTATTCATCAACTAAAAGTAACAACAATAAGTAACTCTTTTACAACAGATTCACACAGTTTTCTTCAGTTACTAGTGACAGCCGAGAGAAAATACATAGAAAGACTCTAAAATGGGCAGGATCTTAAATTTGATGAGATAAAGAGGCAAGCATAAAGCTGCAGCCACCATTTAGCATTACTGTTCCAGAGTAAATTCGTCAAACGAAGTTCCATTTGAACTAACCAGCACATAACCAATGCAGTAAAATATATAAAATTTGGTCGAGTGTTTGCCAAATATAACATCCAATAGCACGTATTTTGAAGCTATGATTCATGTTTCCTAGAACTATGATAAAAGTAATCCTGACCACACGCAAAGACACCAGGAACAAGTAGAATCAGCCATTCGACGATACAAACAAAAAACCAAAGCACATACATTACCAACTTAATTGCCTTTCTCTAAATTGATTTGACAATTCTCTTTGTCATGATATGCAACATAACTGGTGATCTAAACTCATTTCCAAGAGCATAAAAATGTTAAAGGAATGAGAAATAAGTTACTATTGGGATTTGAGAGCGGGGAAGAGGAAAAATCATTCATAATAATGGACGCAGAAGCAACCCGTCAGTACATACATACACACTATTCATCTGAACCTAATAATAATAATAAAATTTAATGCAACGACTTTTCTGAAAGGATCAAAACATAGAAAAACTCAACACAAAACTTAAAGAAAAAGGATGTGCTCAACTGACATCGTCGAAGAAGAGAGAGAATCCAAGTGAAGCGGAGGGATGGAGAGAGCGAAGTCCAACAGAATTGCGCAGGTCAGCAAGGGCCAGGACAAGGAGTTGACCAGAATTGACATTGCTGTGACTCGGGCCTTTGGACAGGGAATTGAGAGCTTCCACCGCCGATGGAGGCCAGAAGACGGCGGAAGATCGGAGAATGACAGGCAGAAATGGTAGGATTGACTGGAAATCATCCCTACCCTCCATGAAATGTAATGCTGAATCGACTTGACTATTGAATGTAAAAAGATACTGTTTGTTAAAAATTTATTCTTGTTATAAAGACGGAAAGATAAAAGAACACAATATAGAAACTGGATATCACTTATACTCAATTTTCTTCTTCCTTCTGTACATTTTCATTGCATTTCGGGTACCTTTTATAGGCAAACTTTCCCGATATAACATACAATAATTTACACCACATTCATATCTATTACTATTCCCATTTTCAAATAATGAAATGTCACTATTCATGCATAGTGGTTCATTCCACTTATTTATAACACTCCCCCTTGAAATTACCATTATGCAATGTGCGTTTATGCTGCCTCATTAAAAACCTTATTCGGAAAAACTCTGTGGGAAAAAACCGAGATAAGGAAAAAAGAGTACAGCCGCACATGCTCCCCCTCGAGTTATCATCCGTGTAAATCTCGAAGATGTCTCATTCCAATGTTATGGACGTGCTTTCGAAATGTTGTAGTTGGGAGCGCCTTCGTAAATAAGTCTGTTGCATTATCACATGATCGGATGTATTGAATCTTGATCTGTTTGTTCCTTTCAAGCTCTTGAGTGTATGAGAAGAACTTTGGTGGGATATGTTTAGTTCTGTCACTCTTGACGTATCCTTCTTTGGTCTGAGCGACACATGCTGCATTGTCTTCGAATATGACCGTCGGATCTTTATTATTTGATAATCCACTGGCTTGTTGAATGTGTTGAGTCATATTTCTGAGCCAGATGCTCTCCCTAGTTGCTTCATGCAGTGCAATGATTTCAGCATGGTTTGAAGATGTAGCAACTAGTGTTTGTTTCTGAGAACGCCAGGAAAATGCAGTTCCACCAATAGTGAAAACGTAGCCAGTCTGAGATCTCGCCTTATGTGGGTCTGATAAATATCCTGCATCTGCAAAACCGATCATTTCATGTTTTTTATCATTTGAGTAAAATAATCCCAGATCGATTGTTCCTTGGAGATAACGGAATATATGCTTGATTCCATTCCAGTGTCTCCTTGTAGGTGACGAGTTATATCTTGCTAACAAGTTGGTAGCAAAAGATATATCTGGTCTGGTGCAATTAGCAAGATACATAAGAGCCCCTATTGCACTCATATATGGTACCTCAGGACCAAGTATTTCTTCATTTTCTTCACAAGGTCGAAATGGATCCTTTTCAACATCCAATGTTCGGTTAACCATAGGAGTACTAAGGGGATTAGCTTTGTCCATATTAAATCGTTTCAGTACTCTTTTAGTATAGTTAGATTGATGGACGAATATCCCATTTTGTACTCTCTCTATCTGTAAGCCAAGGCAATATTTAGTTTTTCCGAGATCTTTCATTTCAAATTCGCCTTTCAGAAAAGTAACTGCTTCTCGAATTTCATTTGCTGTCCCAATAATATTAAGATCATCAACATAGACAGCAATTATCACAACTCCATCATGTGATTTCTTTATGAAAACACACGGACATATTTGATCATTCAAGTATCCCCTTTTTAGTAATTGTTCACTCAAACAATTATACCACATACGCCCGGATTGTTTTAAGCCATACAATGATCTTTGCAACTTTAACGCACATAACTCCTTAGGTTTTGAGTTCAGTGCTTCGGGCATTCTGATTCCTTCTGGGACTTTCATGTATATGTCGGTGTCTAATGATCCATACAAGTAAGCAGTCACAACATCCATGAGACGCATCTCAAGATTTTCATGGGTAGCTAAACTCATCAAGTATCTGAAAGTAATTGCATCCATGACAGGGGAATATGTTTCATCATAATCGATCCCAGGCCTTTGGGAGAATCCCTGTGCAACAAGGCGAGCTTTATATCTCGTGATCTCATTATTCTCATTTCTTTTTCTGGTGAAAACCCATTTGTATCCAATGGGTTTTATGCCTTTTGGTATAATGGAAATAGGCCCAAAAACTTTTCGTTTATTTAGTGAATCTAACTCGGCTTGAATGGCGCCTTTCCATTTATCCCAGTCACGTCTTTTCTGACATTCAGCTACAGATTTTGGTTCAGGATCCTCAACTTCATTATCAATTTCTTTTGATACCATATATGCGAATGCATCATCATTATTCATGATCTCATCACGCTTCCAAAGATTCCCATTGTTCACGTAATTGATGGAAATTTCAATATTTTCATTTTGTCCCGAAATTTTTCCATCATCTTGATTCCTTTTCAAATTGGAGTCAAGAATTTCTCTTTTCTTTCGAGGATTCTTATCTTTAGACCCAACTGGTCTTCCTCGTTTCAAGCGTGTCTTTGACTCATTTGGCTTATCGTCATTTGCCATTTCTTTTGGAATCTCAATTCGAGCAGGGGCATTTACGGCTACCACATGTGATTTGGTCACCCTTTTTAAATCAGTAAATGCATCTGGCAATTGATTTGCAATATTCTGCAAATGTATGATCTTTTGAATTTCTTGCTCTCTTTGTTTGGTGGGAGGATCAAGATATGATAATGCGGATGTTCTCCATTCAATATTTCTCTCAATTGACTTTTCATTCCCACCTAAAGGGGGAAACAATTCTTCATTAAAATGACAATCATCAAAACGAGCTGTAAAAACATCACCTGTTTTTGGCTCAAGGTATTTGATTATTGATGGAGATTCATATCCAACATATATTCCCAACCTTCTTTGAGGCCCCATTTTTGTACGTTGTGGCGGAGCAATTGGTACATATACTGCACAACCAAAAACTCTTATATGTGCAATATTTGGTACTCGACCATATGCCAACTGTAATGGCGAGAATGTATGGTATGCACTTGGTCTTATTCGAATTAGATCATCTGCATGCAGAATAGCATGTCCCCATACTGAAGTGGGGAGTTTTGTTCTCATTATCAATGGTCTAGCTATAAGCTGCAGTCGTTTAATAAGTGATTCTGCTAGACCATTTTGAGTGTGAACATGTGCCACAGGATGTTCAACATCAATTCCTACAGCCATACAATAATCATTAAATGCTTGAGATGTAAACTCTCCAGCATTATCCAGTCTGACTCTCTTGATAATATAATCTGGGAATTGAGCCCTTAATTTAATAAGTTGGGCAAGTAATTTAGCAAATGCCATATTTCTAGTGGATAACAAACTTACGTGAGACCATCTACTAGAGGCATCAATCAACACCATAAAATATCTGAATGGACCACAAGGTGGATGAATAGGTCCACATATATCACCATGAATCCTTTCTAAAAATAATGGTGATTCATGTCCGACTTTAGTATGTGATGGTCTCATTATCAATTTCCCTTGAGAACAAGAGGCACATGTCAACTCATGTGTTTGCAATATCCTCTCATTTTTTAGTGGATGGCCACTAGAATTTTCAATAATTTGTCGCATCATTATCGAGCCAGGGTGACCAAGTCGATCATGCCAAAGTTTAAATATTTCATTCGACTTTGAATTTGTTGCAGCATATGCCTCAATTATATTAATCCGGGTATAATACAAACCCGAGGATAAAGCGGGTAACTTCTCCAAAACACATTTATTTCCCGCATTATCTGAGGTAATGCAAAGATATTCAACTCCCCCTTTATTCATCGTTTCAATGTGGTATCCGTTCGTTCGGATATCTTTAAAACTCAACAAATTTCTTGTTGATTTTGGGGAGAATAGTGCATCACTTAATATAAATTTTGTACCGTCCATCATAAAAAATATGGCTTTTCCAAAACCTTCAATTATCTTTGCACTTCCGGATATTGTGTTTACTTTTGCTTCATTTAATTTCAAGTTCACGAAATATTTTCTGTCCTTGAGGATAGTATGAGTAGTAGCACAATCTGCAATACATATATCTCCATCTTGAATTCGAGACCGATCCATGATCTAAAAGAAAACAACATTTATTATTGATCAAATTCAAAGTACAAATACAAGTAGCTCATACACAAATACATTACAACTCAAAAAGCAAAATAAAAACATGATCATCAGTTATTCTCTAGGTCATTTCCAGCTCCGTCTTCAAATGCCGCATCGGCAAAATCCAGTTTCAATATGTCATCGATGCCATAGTCATCATCCACACGCGTTGCATCATTTTCAGAGGATTCCCCAACCATAAAATTAGTTTCTATATTCTTATCTTTTGATTTCTGGGAATCTTGGTATTTTTCAACCTCGTGCCTTGGGGCTCGACAATTTCGAGCCCAATGGTTATTTCTACCACATCGATAGCATGCCTTTTCATCGTTATCCCCTTTATTATTTTCAGAACGTTTATGAAAATCATTTTTTCCATGTCCATGATAATTACCTCGGCCAGATTTGTATCCTGGGAAAAAATTTCGGCCTCGTCCATAATTTCTATCTGGACCATATCCACGGCCACGTCCACGTCCACGTCCACGTCCACGACCACGGCCACGTCCCGAGGTATATCCACGCACATTTGTTTGGCTGTTTTGATTTCCGGTTCCCTGTTTAGATATTACAACATTTATTTCAGGGACCGCAGTAGACCCTGTGGGTCTAGATTCATGATTTTTCATCAACAGCTCATTATTTTGTTCGGCTAGCAACAAGCAAGAAATCAGCTCAGAATATTTCACAAAGCCTTTTGCTCTGTATTGTTGCTGCAAAAGTACGTTTGAAGCGTGGAATGTGGACAACGTTTTTTCAAGCATATCGTAATCAGTTACGTTTTCCCCGCATAATTTCAATACCGAGCAAATGCGGAACATGGCTGAATTGAACTCGTTTACAGTTTTAAAATCTTGGAAGCGTAAGTGCATCCATTCATAACGAGCCCGGGGGAGAATTACTGTTTTCTGATGATCGTATCTTTCTTTCAAAGCTTTCCAAAGATCCGCAGGATCTTTCACAGTTAAGTATTTATTTTTCAATCCCTCATTTAAATGATGCCGCAGAAATATCATTGTTTTAGCTTTATCTTGTATTGATGAATTATTTGGGGAGATTATTGTTTCTCCCAATCCCCTCGCGGCCAAA